AGTATTCTTTTTTTTATTGCAGTGCCCACAATCAAGTTTCCCATGTGCATTCTTTGTATATTCATTCAACAACTATTTAATGAGTGCCTAATATATTTTTGACAATTAGTAGATCCTGGTGATGCGATAATGAACAAAATATACATTGTCCTGCTTTTATAACAATTAAATCTAAGTATTTCTCATATATGTTTTTTTTCCTCATTGAGTTTATTGGTACATTTTAGGTACACAGTGCAGTTACATTCATCACTGGGATATTTTACCTCTACATGACAGGTCTTGCTTCTCATTTTTTTTCCCTTACCCCTGCCCTCCCTTCACCCCCTCCTCCCTTCCCTATCTACAAAAATTTTTTTTCCATTTTTTCATTTTCTCATAATTTTTTCTTTTCCCTTATTTCCTTTCCCCTACCCTTCCCACTTACCCTACATGTCATCTATATGTTGATGGCATGAGGAATCTCCTGGATCAGGGTGTGAGCTGAGAAACTTCCTTTGGGAACATGTGTGGTGGTTATCAAAATGGTCCCAGAGTCCCAGAGTCTCTCCGTCATTGCAGTGCAGGGTCCCTGACCTCTCTGCCGGGCAGTGGGGCCTCTGTGGCAGCGCCCTGCACTGGGCTGGCCAGGTGCTTTGCTTTGGTCAGTGTGGTACAGTGTTAGCGAGTGTGGTATAACACACCGCACAGCACATGTTAGACCGTGGTGTTAGGATTCACAGGTGCCTTTTCCTTACTGATTCCTGAGCCTGTTTCAGCCCTTACTTCAGACCCAGAAGATAATCCTGGGAATCGCAACCCTCAACTCAGTGTGAATGCTCTAGGGCCTGGCTGTCTGTGTAGAGGGGCCTTGGGCAGAGGCTGCAGGAGGTTGGGGGAGACCCCAGGGAGGGAGGGCTTCCACTCTGGAGAGCAGGGGACAGGTCACGGCGGTGGAAGATGCGAGTGCCTGAGAAGATCATGTACACAGAGACAACCGATTCAACTGAAAAGACAGAAAACCATTTTCCTCAGAACTATTCAACTGAATCTTTATTCAGATTATTACAGATTCACACATCACTGTAAGAAGTCACTCAGAGAGATCCCAGTTTCCTCCTGTGATGGCCAGAGTGAGGGCTCCCCCTGGCACCCCCAACCTTCCCAGAACCTTGAGTGTGCTGTGCATCATGGTAGACAGGAACTGGGCAAGAGAAGTCCTACACCCATTCCCCACTGGTCCCAAGAAAACTTGCTGGAGGATGCAGTGTTTACCCTGAGATGACTCGAAGGTTGCAGTTCCAACCTTGCCTCCAAAGTGTGCTGCGAAATCTTTTATTATTATGTTCATTTAAAGAATGCATTAATTTTACTGGTGCATTTTAGGTATACAATATGATGGCATTCAGGTACCTTTTATACCTATAGATATAGGTACCTATATCTTGGTTCCTATTTTTTCCCATTCCCCTCCCCTCCCTTTCATTTTGCTTAGCACATTGATGGTCTTTGGAAGCAGGGATATGATTCTAATCATAGCATTCCACTTTTATTTTTTATTTATTTACTTAATTTTTCACTGAGTTTGTTGGTAATTTTTAGGTGTATAGTATAGTTACATTCATCACTGGGATCTTGTACTTTTACATGATGTATCTTGGTTCTTATTTTTTCCCATTCCCCTGGCTATTCGCTTTTAGTAGTGGTATTTCCACTTACAGAATAACAATCTTCAACTGTTGAAAAAGCCAAATCTAGGAAAAGTAGTAGCATTCCCACAAGTGAAGTTAAATACGAATCACCACATACATTTTTGCTACAGTAGGATTAGAGACAAGTGTGGTTTATAAATAACTCTGAGAGGAGTTTTTATACTTTATTTTCACATTGAAAACCAGCCCGATGAGCTTCAGCTTCAAAGACTGTGTTAATGTAAAATTAGATGAATGTGGGCAGCACAATGCACTTTTTTTCATAAATGGAAAATGAAAATTGCTAATAGCGGACCTTGACATGGGGAGATCGCCCTGCGTGCCTAGGTGGACACAACATAACCACAGCAGTTTTTATGAGTAAAAGAGAGAGGTAAAACAACAAGAGTCAGAGAGAGAAATCTGGAGATGCTGTAGTGGCTACAAGCCAAGGAATGCAGGCAACTTCATAGGATAAAAAAGGCGGAAAGTGAATTCCTCCCTTGTGTACGCTGTGCCATGCAGTTTAGCATACACTGTCTAGCAGGCAAGTGCTTCTGGAAGATATATACGTACGTGTGTTTCTTGTCTTATGCTAACAATTTGGAAATATGCACACCATCATCATACAATGTAAAATTAAAAAATTAGACCTTTGAACTGTGGTCGCTAACAAAGTTTTCCAGTATTGATCTCGTTGGATTAGTGTCTCCTTGTATATACAATGTGTGCTTGGAATGTTTCTGCATACTGCTCTGCAGTCTTTGAATGTCTGATTCCTCCAGACATTTGAAAAATCATCACTAATTATGAAAATACACACTTTTTTTTTTGTACTGGGGATCGAACTTGGGACCTTGCACTTGTGAGGCAGGCAGTGGAACCACTGAGCTAAGTCCCTAGCCCCACCCTTCTTGTTAGATGCACCTTGGTAGTTTTCTTCCTGCAGCTGGTATAGCTGGCTGCTTTCTGAAAGCTCCAAGTGGGGCTGTGCCACACTGACTCCACAGAAGAGGTGGAGAATGGCTGCTGTTCTCAGGGGAGCTCTGGTCTTCCCTTTGAGAGTCATTTCCTGGCTCCAGTGCAGATCCCTCAGCCTGGTGGTGCAGACTTTTTAGCTTTCACCGCTGGGCCTATGGGCCTTCCTGGGGCAGATCCTTGATACAAACTTGCATGGATCTTACCATGGCTCTAGGCCTTCAGCTGGATTCTTTGGGTCTCTAGTGTGTGGAAAGATCTCTTGCACCCCTCTGCATTTGACTCTTTGGGTGAATATTGAAAGATAATCCTATACATTTTGTGACCTGTATTAAATCTTTTCCCTTAAGGTCCTGACTATGACAGGTGATTTGCAGGGTTTCTTTGCTGCCTGCTGGCTTAAGGAATCGGCTGTGTGACACAGGGATTCTCTAGACATGGAAACACTGCCCCAGAACTGCTGAGGGATCCACAGTGCTGCAGTGGCTTTATTCCTGCCCTGCTGCCCCTTAGCAGTGCAAAGTTAACATATACGATCGGTCTGCATAATATTTCCTGTGTAGCTCAGCTGCTGATTCATTCTCCAGGTTGGAACCCCAGCCCTGCTCCCCAGCAGGGACTCTGTTCTGAGCACCCAAAGTGCTGGTATAAAACGTGTGTTTGGTCTCTTAGTTCCTATAAAAGGTTAGTGAGAGGTCAAATTTGAACTATTTATTCGAAAGGGTATAGACTAAACTCACCAGGGAAGCCCACACAGAGCTGGACTTATGTAGGACATCGAACACATCAGGAGTGAAGGTCAATGGAATTCAGTCTTTCCAGTCCAATTACTGCTTAAGTATTTTCTGTCCTTCAGAATATTTTCTGTCCCTTTCATAGACTCACTCATCAAGGCCTGATCCCAAGGTGGCCAGGGTGGCTGAGTGAAGACACAACGTTTCTGAATAACATTAATTCCTTCTGTGGGCGGCACCCACAGTGACTTCTGTGGGTCTTGCCTCGTAACTTTGCCAGACTTGGGGCTAAGCTTCTAACACATGAAACTTTAGGGGAGTCCCTCTAATTGTTTGCAAACATGGCAACAAGTGTCCAGGATGAATCCAAGAAATGTGAGTTTTTGGCAGAAACATATCATTCATTCATCCACTGCCAGAATGACTAGCATTGGGTTAAGTGGCTTCCTTTAGTGTCCACAGTTGCACCATTAAATACTTCTGTCTGTGTGACTTCTGTCACACACACACGTAGACACACACACACATAGACACACACACATATACACACACCCACACACCCCTTGACCTCAGAAACAAGAAAAAAGTATCAGTAATTGATACAGAGAACTTTTGTAAGTAATCTAAAAACCTACAAAATATTAGGAAAATGTAAAATGACTTCTGCTTGTCTCTAACAGCAATCTGCTTTGTTTAGTTCAAAGTTAACAGACATCAGAGGCACTGACCATGAAGTGGGACATCTGGCCTCATCCCTGACCTTGAGCACCTCCTTCCTGTGCACTAGAATAGACATCTTGATGAATCTTAAGGTAAACTCCCCAACTGCAAGGAATTGTTATGTCTGGGTTAAAGTGAACTGCCTTGTTACTGTAATTCGTACACGGGTAATGTGAACTGAGGAAATGAACTGTAGCCACCTGAATGAGATCATAGCTGCAAAACCTATGAAAGAAGAAGCTGCAACCAATGGGAGGTCTATCACTGGCACTGCTCTTAGTGTGATCAACTTTTTGTCAACAAAATAAACTTTTTATTATTTTACTTCCATTCTGCATCTCTCGGTACATGTCACTTATCACTTCCTTCCATAACATAATAGTGAAGCAGAAGCAGTTCTTGGAGCTCCCTCACAGGTTGCTGAAGCTACTAAGCTGGGTTCACATACAATTCCATAATGGGTGTGTCATAAAATGGATAATGTCAAGACTCTGAAATCCTGAGGCAACAGATCTGCTCGTGTCCTGTTGCTCTTTCCTTCTAGCCTTCTGTATAAAAAATGACAGAAACACTCTTTAAGACTGCATTCTGGGTGTTTATTTACAATAACACTTTTTGATGATTCATAGGCTGTTGCTTCACCCAGTGAGTTTGGCAAAAGGCAGCTGCATTTCCTTTCTTCTTTTCAACCCAGAAAGAGCTATGTTGGCCAGCAGGTTACTGCTTCTAACTCTCATGAGAGTGCTGCCTTGACTTTTGACCTTTCTGGTTGTGATTTCATGTATCAATTTAATGATTCAAAAGATATTTATTGAGTAATGAGGATGTGATATGAAGTATGCTGACTGCTGGGAATCCAGGGAAGATATTTTTTTTACCTTTGTCTGTATTGGCAGGGGTGGAGGGATGAATCACATCATTATTATAGAGTCAACAAAGAAGGACACGAACAATTATACAGGAAGAAGAATGTCACAGAATTCCTGTGTAGTTAAGCATCTCTCCAACTACCCATATGGAGGGAGTTTCTTGCTCTATGCTTGATCAGTAACATTAGGGGCTTTAGAACCAGTCCAATATCTGTGTTTACCAGGGGGCGTTTCTCAGTCCTAGATGTTTCTACTGTTGTCCACATTTTAAGACTTTATTGAATGAAGTAGATTTGGTTTAAGAAATAGCCATGGTCCCTATTTTAGAAACATTAAATTGTGGTAGCACATCTCTACTGGATGGTTTGATGTGCCAAGTTTAAACAGCTCAGGTCTAACCTACAAAGCCCTTTTCCCTGCGGCTTTCACAGCTTCCTTGACCTCCTTGTTTCTCAAGCTGTAGATCACAGGGTTCAACATGGGAATGATGATGCCATAGAGTACAGAGGCCACTTTCATGTTCTCCTGGGAATGCTCAGAAGGAGGCTGTAAGTACATGTAGGAGAGGGTTCCATAGTAAATGGTGACAGCCGTCAGGTGGGAGGCACAGGTAGAAAATGTCTTCTTCCTCCCCGCAGTGGAAGACATCTTTAAGATGGCGACCGTGATGGAGATGTAGGAGAAGATCACGACCAACACAGTGAATGTCAAGTTAAATCCCACCAAGACAACAATTAATGCGATATTGATGTCAGTATTGGAACAAGAGAGGGCAAGAATTGGCGGAAAGTCACAGAAAAAGTCATTGATAATGTTGGACTTACAGAAGGACAGGGAAAGTGCAAATCCTGTGTGTACAGAGGCGTTTATTGATCCCATGAGGTATGAGCCAACTACCAGTTTGATGCAGACTGTTTGGGACATGATTATGGGATAGCGAAGAGGCTTACAGATGGCTACATAGCGATCCACAGCCATAGTTGCCAGGAAGTAGCAATCACTGGTTGCAAATGTTGCGACAACCAATAATTGCATTATACACCCTCCATACGATATGGATTTGTTTTCTGTGATGAAATTCTGAAGCATCTTCGGAGTGATGGCAGACGTGTAGCAGATGTCAACGAAAGCTAGATGTTGTAAGAAGAAGTACATGGGTGTTTGCAGTCTGGGATCTGTGCTGATGAGCAGGATCATTCCGATGTTACCCACCATGGTTATCACATAGATCACAAGAAATACAAAGAAGAGGACAGCCTGGATCTCATATTGCACACCAAATCCGAGAAGATAGAATTCAGTCACTTCAGTGGCATTTCCTTGTGTCATGATTACCAGAAGTCTAGAAAGGACCGAGGGAAGGACCAAGACAAGAAAGAAGATATTTGTGACTTCTGGAAAGGATACGATTCTTACCTTCCATGTCACTGTTTTGGCTTGGACTTTCCTGATAAAACTCACAAGGAGATTTAGTATTTCCCAAGTGGCTTTTTCTATTTTCTTGAGAAGACAGCACAAAAGCTGTTTTGGAAACATGGATTCCTTTTTCAGTGAAGAATACTTCAGTACTGATGTCAACGTGCGATTCTAAGAAGCACGGACTCGTACACTTTCCTACTATATTAAACAGGTATGTATATTTGCATTAGGCAGTGATTCAATACGATTTTGTACTCTTTCAGTATCATACATCATTTCTTATCCATTTATCATTTTAGTTACTTAGCCCTAGTTTCAGATCTTGAAATGCATAGAACTAATTATGGCTGGAAGAATTTTCTGAGATTATTCATGGGCCACACTATTTGATGGCCATGGTGTGTGCTACCATCTGCTTTACAATTCCCACCGAAGGAGCTTCCACCACAAACCAGATAACACCTTCGTCTCATACATGGGAGAGAGAGATGAGCTGGCATTTTTCATGGGAATGCAACTGTGCTCTCTTTTAGTTATGGCCTACCTTAACAGAAAACAATGTGCGAAAATCTAATTCACATATAATAATGGCTCATTTAAAATCACAAATATCTTTGTTTTTCTCTAAGTTTATGGTAGCCCTGCACTTAGTTTGATGTACAAGTGTGAGGCATCCATGCATGACCTGTCATACATTGCAAGCCCTCACGCCCTCTGCTGCCGTTTCTTTATTCCTCAACGTCTTCCCCTGTTGCTCAGCAGTGCTCACGTGGAGTGAGCATCGCGGATGCTTGCCGTGGCAGGAATGAGCTTGCTGTCCTTTGGTAGAGGTGTCATTTTTCTGGGAACAGAGTCAGATCGCATTTGCAGCTGAACAGGCTTGTGTGTGGTCATGACACCATGAAAGGTGGGCTAAAGTAAGGTGGCCTCCTTCAAGGCCGGGACTATCTCCCCCCGCATCTTTGTGCCATCAAATCATGTGGTTTCTACTCCCTCTCTTCCCCATCTGTTAGTTGAATTTTGGTGTTCAGGGAGACTTTGGCAGACACATTGCAGATATAATTAATACGGGGCACCCAGTTAAACTGTGAGTTTCAGACACACAGCATACTTTTTGATAGAAATGAGTCCCAGATATTGCCTGGGAAACCTTAAAAGTAAAGCTTTGCTTACTGTTTATCTGAAATTCCAATTCCACTGGGCATCCTGCATTTTAATTACTAAGGCCGATGCCTGCTGCCGCCCACTCTCGGAATGACTGTGGAGGATCCCTGTCTCTCAGTCCATGCACGTGGCTATAGAAGAACACTAGAGACTTGGTCATTTACACAGAAGTAAGAGATGCATCCGCTCCTGATTCTGGAGGCTGGGGAGTCCAGATGCAGCAGCTACGCCACGAGCTGGCCTTGTCACCCCCCATCTGGTGGCAGAGGTAGGAGGCGAGAGCAAGAGCCAGAGGTGCTGAGGTCACCTGCACTTGGCCACAACGATAGGAATCCAGGGACAAGGGCAGAGCCTCTCGACCCAGCCACTTCCTCTTAGGCCTCACCGCTCCCGGCTTTTGCACAGGGACTCCCATTTCTATCTCAGGATCTGTGGGAAAGACGCTCCGTCTTCCCCTGGCCCTCTGCCAACACGCTTTCTCCACTGGATGGTGTGTTTTCAAGGCTTTCTATTGCTAAGTGTCACCGAGATTACTTGAAAGAATTAATATTTTGGTCATAAGACACAAGGACTTGGTTTCTATTCAAAGACATGTATGAAAGACAGAATAACAACAGTATAAGCTTCTGCCTGGCAGGAGGGTTCCTAAGTGACTGCTCACTGGTCGGACGGATGCGTGAAGACCACACAAAGAGCAGCAGTGGGGAAAGCTTGGGGCCCACCATACTTACCCTGCAGAACCCCCCAGATGCTGATGTGGGTGGTGCTTGGCGCAGACTGAAAGGAGCACTAGAATGTGCGCTGGTGAGCACTTTTCAAGCAGCAAGTACAGATTATAACTCTGGGTACCTCATGAGCCTACGGCTTATTGAGACAACAGAAGACTTACTTACACTTGAACAAAGACTGAGGGCGCACAGTCTACCGATGGAGAAGAACCAGCTTAGAAGCGTACAAACCACCCCCAGTTATGTGTGTCTGTTATCTACATGCATGTACAAAAATACGTATGTAACCTGTTTCTGTCATGGAGGACCAGTGCGAATGTGATTACTGAAAGATGCATACAGGGATAAAAATCTCTTCTTATTTTTGTTTTTAATTATGTCACAACTAACTGTGTGGTTGAATTATTCTTCATACAGTTTTATACATTTTTATTCACACAAAAATTTACATAATAAGATAAGTTACCCATACACGGGAAATAAACCGCACCCCTGGTACTCCACAGAATGCTCCTTGACTCTGTCTGTAACCCCTAACAGATCTACAGCTTCCAGAGGAGATGGCTAGGGCCGGGATCTTAGCCAGCTCAGTCAGTTGCTGATGCTGGCTTCTCTGGTGTGCTCAGATATCTTGGGACACAAGCACCACGGGGTAAAGTGAAGGAGAGGATGTGACTGTCTCAGACTCAACGGTCAGGAGGTGCTGAGGATAAGGAAGCTCCTTTCTCACAGAAAAGTGCTGGAAATGATGAGATGGAACCTTTTTGGGGAGGTCCTGACAACTGATTTTTGGCAAGTCACCACAGGCCCTGGTTGGAAGGGTGGTATTTTTAATAAATGATGCTGGAGAGGCCGGGTGTGGTGGTGCACGCCTGTGATCCCAGCACTCAGGAGGCTGAGGCAGGAGGACTGCTGTGTTTGAGACCAGTGTGGGCTACACAGTGAGTTCCAGGTCAGTCTCAACTATATAGCAAGATCCTGTCTCAAAAAACAAAAGACAAAACAAAACAAAAAATATCCTGGAGCGCTTGGCTATCCTTGGGAAAAACATGAATTCAGTGCAAGCTTTACACCTTGTACTAAAAGGAACTCAAGACAGATCATATATTTATATGTAAAATATAAAACCACAAAATGATCCGAAGGTAACATTGGGGAGTATTTGTAGATGGTAGGGCAGAGCAAAGCATTCTTAGACACAAGAATAGGACAACAGATAAAGAAAGATAAAAATAAATTGAACCTCATCAAAATTAAAATTTTTAGTGTGTTAAGGACTGGGTTAAATGGATGAAAACCACATTACAGAATGGGAGAAACCTGGGAAGGAATCCACAGAGTATGCAAGGAACTCCCCAGCTTAACACTGAATAAGAAATCAAATTTGAAAATTGGCGGAAAACCGAGACCTTTAACCAATGGGGGAAGCGTGGATGAGGTAAAGATGTGATCAGATGCTCAGTGTCTCAACTATGAGCGAAACGCCCCTCAGGGAACTGTGCAGTGTCCCTGCCCTAACCCCGTGAAATGCCAGCCTGTGTGTGCCCTAGTGGACCCAGCGACCGTGCAGCTGGGTGTCTCGACATTGTGAGAACGTAAAGAAGAACAACCACTCAGGAAAACACGAATTTTTAAAAAATACGCACTTGCCAAGATCCCTCATGTAAGGGTACAGGATCCCAGTCATGAATGTAACTGTACTGTAGACCTAGATGGTACCAATAAACTCAATAGAAAAATGCACCTGCAATCAGTCCTTGTGCGCCTAGGTAATTCTGTTTCTGTGAGGCTTAAGCCCATATCTGAGCACAGAATCAGATTTTTATAAAACCTTCACGTGTACAAGCCTCACATTGCTCCATAACAGACGAGCACTTAAACAATCAGGGATCCACCTCCACGTGGAACAGACTTAGAAATAAAGAGGAATAAATTGTTAGTGAATGCACCAGCCTGGACCTCAGTGGCATTGTGGTGAGGAAAAAAAAAAAAAAAAAAAAAGCTGATTCCCCAAAGTCACACTTTGTAGGGCCATTTGCACAATATTACCGAGATGGCAAAACTGTACCGAGGAGAACAGATCCGCGTGTGCTGGGGTCAGGGGTGGGCGGCCTGGGGCATCCGCGATGGACTAGTCTACAGCGTGATGATTCCAGGGGTCTACACAGCGGCGGACGGCACAGGGCAGTTACACGAGACCTGAGCTCGGAGGGAAACCGGGAGAAGCGACCCTCGTGGGAGCTCTCTGTGCAGCCCTTCTAACTTCCGGTGAGTCTTTGAGTTTCCAGAGCAGCACGTCAGAGAAAAACACAGACGAGAAAGTGGTCCGCTTGGAAGGGACAGGAGGAACAGGGACAAGTTTATGTAACCGTCCCAGCGTGGGCAGGCGTGGACAAGGGCGGCCCCAATCCCCGCAGCGCGGGTCAGGGTCGCCGGCTAGGAGCACGATCCTGATCCTTTGCGCACTTTTCTTCCAGCCACCTCCCTCCCACCGCCCGCGGGGAGCTGGTCCTGCCCTGGGGAAGCGCTCTGGACCCGGCTCTCACCTGCTTCTCTGCGTCCTCCCGCTTGCTGCCAGCGGCTGGGAGCGGCCTCAGGGTCTCTTCCCACAGCCAGCGCAGGCTGAGGGCCACCAGGGTCTTTCCTGGCTGGGTTTTGTAGCTGGGGCCGAGGGGATCGATGCTCAGCCTCTGGAGAGTCAGAGGCTCCGGGGGCTGAATGGGATTTGATAACCAACGTTTGTTATGCTCTGCTGGAAAAAGTTAAGGTTCCCCAGAGGGGCAAACATTTATTTTTGTGTTACTGCCTTCGAGTTTTGAGAGCTTTCCAGGCATTTCAACTTCTTTCCTTCCTCCCTCCCCCTCC